TTATGAAAATGTCCTAGAATTAGACAGTAGTAATCATTGAGCCCATCATTTGTCTGTCAGTTTGTCATACTGTGGTGGCTTGCCTTTTGCTGTGAAACTGGAAGCTATGTCTCTGGTATTTCAAATACCAGCAGGGTTAGCCATGGTGGAAAAGTTTCCATGGAACATACCGACTAAAACAGAGTAGGAAGGAGGACATGGTGAGCTACTTCTAAAGAAATTGGCCAGGGAAACCTTATGAATAGCAGGGAAATGTCATCTGATACAGTGTCAGAAGATGAGCCACTCAGGTCAGAAGGCACTCAAAATACGACAGGGGATGAGCTGCCTCCTCAAAGTAGAGTCAACCTTCATGACGTGGATGGAGTAAAGTTTTCAGGACCCTCATTTGCTGGTGTGGCATGACTCAAAATGAGAAGAAATAGCTGCAAACATCCATTAATAATTGGAACATGGAATGATGTACAAAGTATGAATCTAGGAAAATTGGAAGTTGTCAAAAATGAAATGGAATGCATAAAATTCGATATCCTAGGCATTAGTGAGTGGAAATGGACTGGTATTGGCCATTTTGAATCAGATAATCGTATGGTCTTCTGTGCCAGGAATGAGAAATTGAGGAGAGATGGTATTGCATTCACCCTCAAAAAATAATATTTCAAGATCTATCCTGAAGAACAACACTGTCAGTGATAGGATAATATCCATACTACTACAAGGAAGAAAAACAAACCTCCAGGAATTGACAGAATACCTATTGAGATGTTTCAACAAACAGATGCTTACTCATTTATGCCAAGAAATTTGGAAGACAGCTACCTGGCCGACTGACTAGAAGAGATCCATATTTGTGCCCATTCTAAAGAAAAGTGATCCAAAAGAATGTGGAAATTATCTAACAATATCATTAATATCACACCAAAGTAAAATTCTGCTGAAGAACTGAAAAATGGTTGCAGCAGTATATTGATAGGGAACTTCCAGAAATTCATACTGGAATCAGAAGAGGACGTGGAACAAGGGATATGAGGGATATCAATGCTGATGTCAAATGGATCTCAGCTGAAAGCAAAGGATACCAGAAAGAAGTTTACCTGTGCTTTACTAACTATCCAAAGGCATTGAACTATGTAGATCATAACAAAGTATTGATAACGTTGCAAAGAATGGGAATTCCAAAACACTTGATTATGTTCATGAGGAACCTATACATAGACCAGGAGGCTGTCATTCAAACAGAACAAGGGGATACTGCATGGTTTAAAATCAGGAAGGGTATGAGTCAGGTTTGTAACCTTTCACCACATTTATTCAATCTGTATGCTGAGCAAATAATCCAAGAAGCTGAACTATATGAAGAATGTGGCATCAAGATTGACGGAAGACTCATTAACAACCTGTGATATGCAAATGACACAGCCTTGCTGGCTGAAAGCAGAGAGGACTTAAAGCACTTACTGATGAAGATCAAAGACTATAGCCTTCAGTACCGATTACACCTCAACATAAAGAAAATTAAAATCCTCAAAACTGGACCAACAAACAACATCACAATAAACAGAGAAAAGATTGAAGTTGTCAAGGATTTCATTTTACTTAGCTCCACAATCAATGCCCACAGAAGCAGGAGTCAAAAAATCAAATTACATATTGCACTGGGCAAGTCTGCTGCCAAAGACCTCTTTAAAAGTGTTCAAAAGCAAAAATATCACATTGAAGACTAAGGTGTGCCTGCCCCAAACTATGGTATTTTCAATTGCCTCATATGTGTATGTGTGTGTATGTATCCTCATATGTGTATGTGTGTGTATGTATGTGTGTGTGTGTGTATATATATATATATATATGTCTGTGTACATATACATACATACATATATATGTATGTATACACACACACACGTGTGTGTGTGTGTGTATGTGTGTGTTTGAAATCTGGACAATGAATAAGGAAGACCAAATAAGAATTATTGCCTTTGAATTACAGTGTTGGCAAAAAAATATGGAATATACTATGGAATGCCAACAGAATGAAAAAATCTGTTTTGGAAGAAGCAGACTGAATGCTCCTTAGATTGAATATGGTGAGGCTTCATCTCACTAAATACTTTGGACATGTTATTAGGAAGGACCAGTCTCTGGAGAGGGATATCATGATTGATAAAGTAGAACGTCAACAAAGAGGAGGAAGACAATTATGAATATGGAGTGACACAGTGGCTGTAATAATGGGCTCAAACATATCAACAATCTTGAGGAAGATGCAGGACCAGGCAGGGTGTCTCTGTGTCTTACGTTGGGTTATTATGTCAGAATAGACTCAATGGCACCTAACAACGGCAACAACCATCATTGCAATAATCATTACACAATACTAAACATCACTGGATTGTACATTTTTTAAATGCTGAATATTATGGTATGTGAATTGTATCTCAATTTTAAAAAATTGTAATAGGAAAATACAGGTTATGTGCAGAGAAATAAAGGTAAGGATGACATCATATTTCTGGTTGGTAAATGTAAGCTAGAAGACCATGAAGGCACATTTTCAAAGCGTAGGAAAAAAAAATACCTTTCAAAAACAAATAATGACACTTTTAGACATAAAAATGCTGAAAGAATTCATTACCATGCACACCTGCACAAGAAGAAATATTAAAAGACTCCTTCAGGCAGAAAGAAAATGATACCAGAGGAAAAGCTAGATCTATACTAATGAATGAAAAGAAAAGCACTGAAAATGAGAACTTTTTCAAACCTGTTTTGGCTATTCTAGGTTCTATGCCTTGCCATGCACATTTTAGAATAAGCATTTCCATGTCTACAAAAGTTTTGTTGGGACTTATAAGAATTGATTAAACCTGTATATCACTTTGGGGAGAACTGACATCTTTACTATGTTGAGTATCTCAAACTAAGAACATACTATGCCTATCCATTTATTTAGGTCTTCTTTTTTTATTTCTTTAATCAGTATTTTGTAAATTTCAGGATACAGAAGGTTGGGCAATCTACTTCCATAGTGATACTGCCTCGGAAAGCCAAGGAGGGATCACTATGGGTCGGGTCCAACTTGACAGCACATAACAACAACAACAACAGATCTAGTACATGTTTTGTTATACCTAAGTATTTTATTTGAAGCAACTGTAAATAGTTGTTTTAAATTTCATTATTAATGTTCATTGTTAACAGTACAACTACTCACTTATTGACTAGTTACAGGATATTTTACATTTATGACCATAATAAAAAATCTACTTAAATCATTGTGAAGCCAGGTAAAGACCTATATGTTTTGAGTAAGAGAGTATCTCCTTCCTGAGCCCCAAGTCATTGATCCCTTCCATGCCACTCCCCTCCCCAGTCTTGGATTCAAATAAAGTTAAAAGAGGAAAAAAAAAAAAAAAACAGGTTGGATTTCAAGGCCTTGGGCAATTAACATGCACAAGTGCCCCAAGGCCTAATCCCCTCAGGCTCCTGCAGGCTGGTGAGTGCCAGGCCATCCAAGAGGAGTTAGGGCTTCAGGCACAAGTCTGCAAGAAAGCGGCAGAGGTGTGCAGACAGAATGCGAGGCTATCTCTTCGCTGCAGACCCTGGGATCTGCAGTTTGCACACTTGGAGGGCTAGGGCTCACGGTTGGGGTCGATGGGCATTTCTATGGAGAGCAAGAACTCTGCATAGATCTAGGTGGGTGGGTACCCCCTTGGCTGCAACTTCTGACCCAATCAGCCCTGCCTGTGGTTTGAAATGGCACAAGCGGACCTGCCCACCCAAAATACCAAAGTCACTGTGCAAAGAAGAGCCAGCCACAGGTGGCAGCTGCAGGGAAGGGAGCAGCCCCATAGGGCTGCCTCTGAAATGACTTCTGGAGCCTGAGAAACATTTAGTCACCCTCCAAAAAACCAAACGAGTTGCCATTGGGTCAATTCTGACTCAAAAGTGACCCTATAAGGCAGAGTGGATCTGCCTCAGAAGGTCTCCAAGTCTCCAAATCTTTATGGAAGCAGATTGCCACATACTTCTGCAGAGCAGCTGGTGGGTTTGACCCACTCACCTTTTGCTTAGCAGCTAAACACTTAACCATTGCACCACTAGGGCTCCTTGCCTGACTTCCAGTTCACAAAAATCCACCCCATAAAGGCTCCCAAGTTGTCTTCCTGGCCCATAGCATTGGGTGAAACATGGAGAAGGATGGCAGGAAGGGTCAGAACCTCACAGCCTGAGCCAGGTAGGACTGAAGGATTTGGTGAGGCTTTCTCAGTTCCTCTGGAGTCTACTAAGAGGCAAGGGCTGGAAGATGCATCCATGCTTCTGTCCCAACAACTCCTTGCACACCAGCTAACATTTAATTCATGCTTAACTATATACCCAATCTGACAAAAACCAACAAATACATTTAACTCTCACAGTTACGCCACAGTTCGCCATTTATAGACAAGGAAACTGAGGCATAGAGAGATTAAATGGCTCCTTCCAGGTCAAAGAGCTGGTAAGTGGAAGAACTGGATTCTGAACCCAACCCTGTGGCTCCACAGTCTATGACCTTTTCCACAACACCACTGAGCTCCTCCAGAGGGGTTTCCTGGTGAAGCCCATGTGAATCCAGGACAGGGGTGGGTAGGGTAGGCTGGGCATACCTTTCCTCCCCTCATCCCTTTCACCACTCCATCAGACCCACTCTCTCCCCTGGGACTCTGCCAGATCTTCTTGGGCCTTTCCTTAGCCTGGATGCCACTCAAGGTCATAAGATTCCCATATCCCAACCTACTACCACCTCCCACAATGGGCTCCAGAGAAGAACCCTGTTCTTAGTGCTAGTTCCCAAGAGAAATCTCCACCAGACACAAGACATTAAGGTGACAAATCCTGCCTGGCTTGAGATCAATGCTCTCTGGACCAGCCTCATAGCTGGTCCTTCATAGCCCATCTCAGAAGACTACCCAAGAGCCCCCACACTGACCATCCTAGAGCCATCCAATGTGAAGACCAATACTTACAGTCCACACGGAGCTCAGCTTTGGTGGAGGAGACACCCATGCTGTTCTCAGCCAGGCAGCGGTAGACACCCATGTCTGCTGGCACCACAGCCATGATAATGAGCTGGTGGCCACCCTGCTGGTCCTCATTGATCATGAAGTGGTCATTCTCTTCCAGCACCTTCCCGTCCTTGAACCAGCGCACACTGGGCACTGGTTGGCCTGTCACCACACAGTCAAAGCTCACGGGATAACCATCTTGCACCTCTTGGTTCTGCAGCTCAGTCAGGAACACTGGGGCTGAGGCAGGGCAGGCATGCAAGAGTTACTTGTGGGATTCTTCTCAGCACCAAAATCCAACTCAAGCCAATCACCTCAGCTGCCATATATATACATGGCACCACCATTTGGGAATCTAGACATGCATGTACACTAACAATTCATTTCAGCATGTTCTCAGACCCTGACAACTAAAGAGAATTTTGTCTGTGTCTACTAGTGTCTCTCCCTCTTTCCTATTCTTTAAGAATACACTCTTTGCCAGCTTAGTTCCCAGGCTACTGCGATACAAGAGAGCTAGAAGGTCAGAAGCGGAGAGGAAAGGAAAGGTTAAGGAAAGGCAAAGTCTCTTTGGGCAGAGAGTTCAATGTGTGGGCAGTGGAAGCAGGTGAGGGATTTGAAGGCAAAATGGCTTCAGGGATGAGGAGATTGGAAGGAAGAGAAGTTTCAAGAAATGATGCTGTAGGTTATCAATTAATGTTCCTAGGGAGATGCAAGTAAATAGTGTAATGACTTTGTACTTTTAGCTGCTGGGATATGTTTTCTCTGAGTGGGAAATAGTGTCCAGATTGGGTCATGTAGAACCCCACCTTTTAGACTTGTTACATGTGAAACTCTGGAAGGTTATTTGTTATTTACATACCAGTTTCACAGATGAAGAAATTGAGGCTCACAGAGGATAATAAATTGCCCCAAAGCACATAGCTAATAACAGGCAGAGCTAAGACTCAAATTCAGGTCTGTCCAACCCCAAGGTGAGGGCCCTCCCCACCTCACTGAGCTACATCTGTGAAGGGCCCAATGTTAAAGCATAGGTTACTCCTTGAGTTTTTAGCTGACAATGGCCACTACCAGCTCTGCTCTTACCTTCCTCCCCCGACCTCTTGACCCCAGCTCCTGACCCCTGATCAAAAGTGGCATGCAGACAAATCAATACACTCACCAGTGTCTGAGGTTAGCAGGCTGGGCACTGACGCTGGAGGTACTGGTGGGGCCACCTTGCCAATGCGCATCTCCACCCCACGGGGCCCTTGCTCCACGAGGTTGATCTCCACCCCAATCCCCATTGTGGCAAACATCTCCTGGAAGCAAGTAGCAGCACGGCGGGCCTCAGCAAGGGCCTCAAAACGAATGCAGACAAAGTGCTCATCTTCACGGTAGGTCTGCCAGTCTCCAGGCTCCTCCATCTCCGTGCTGCCCTCCTCTGCACTGAAGAAGAGCTCCTCATCCGAGACCTCAGCTGGGCCCTTGGTGCGGAAAAGCCGGTGCAGCCGCCGGGCAGCCCGGCGGAAGGCATCATCCAGCTCACCCCCTGACGAGCTCTCTGCTTCACTCTCTGTTCCGCTGACCACCACACAGGCACTGTGGACTGCATGGCCAAACTTGTTGCTCACCTGACAGGTGTAGCGGCCTGCATCACTGTGATCCAGGCCCGTGACCAAAAGCGAGCAGGTGCCATCACTGAGCTGGTCAATGTGGTAGTGCCGCCCATCTGCCAGCTCCACGCCATCCTTCAGCCAGCAGGCACGCAAGTCCGCCTTGCTGGTTACCACACACTCTAGGCGCAGGACATCCCCCACCTGTGCCTCTGTGTCCCCAAATGTATGGCTGAACACAGGCCCCTCCTGCTGCTTCATCTCCTTCCGGACCTTGTAGCCTTTAAAAGCTGCCTGGATCTTCACAGCTGCCTTGTCCATGGATGGGTCACCCAGGTCCTCAGCACTCAGATCATCTGGTGGTGGGTGCACCATGACCGGTGGCTCCTGTGGCTTCTGTAGTTTCTCAGAGGGGGCAGGTGGGGCCACAGCCTGTGCAACACAAGGCCTGACAGTCAGAGCTGGCAAGGCTCAGGGACCATCCACCCACACCTTACAGAAGGGAAGGGAGCTGAGGGCTAGAGTAGGGAAAGGACTGATCCATGATCACATGGGGCAGAACCAGCATCGGAGCTAGCTCTCCTGCCCTAGGGCCTACCCTAGCATCGGATTCTGCCTTCTTCTATTCGTAACGGTGGGAGCTTTTTTGAGTCAGGATACATGACTGCTCCTATTGTCACAACAAGCAAGCCCAGCTGCTTCAAATTGCTTTCCACAGGCACCCAGAAGGAGAACTGACAGTCAGGGTTTGTGGGGATGACCACAGAACCAGTTCTAGCTTTTCAGGTAAATTGTTCTAACAGCCAGAATGGAACAGAAATGAAAGAGGTTGCCTTGAGAGGGAGGGAGGGTCCTGGGGGTTAGCTTGTACTAGGGGAGGCTTGACATCCCCTAGTTGAGACACCACAGGGAAAACTGATGAGTTAGGTGAGATCTGAGCCAAACTCAGCTCTTAGGACCCATGTGTCTGCAGAATGTCTGTGCCCCTTTTCAGAAAATACACAACCATGGTTCTGGCTGAGCAACATCAATGCCAAAGGCAGGTTCCAACACGTGGGTGCCTCAACCTGTGGGTGCATGTGGCACTGATGTGGGAGTGCTCAGAATGCAGATAAGCATGGCATACAACAACCATTTACTAGGGCTGACAATGTGGAAGACACTGAATATGCCTGTAACATCCCAACATGGCAACCACCTCTCCTCTGTGTCCCTGCATGGGGCTGATATGTAAGATGCATTCTCTGAGCATTGGCTGCAAAAGGAGATGTTGGGTGGATCGATAGAGTGAGTAGTGGATGAAGGGTGAGTGAGTAGGGGGAGGGCTCAGTGACTAGATGAATGGGCTTTGGGATGCAGTTAAGAAGATGACTGGGTGAAAAAAGAGATGAAATAGTGACTATATGGCCAGTGAGTAAAAGGCTGAGTGGACAGACAGATGAGATGGGTGATGAGTAAGTGGACAGATAGGTGAGTGGTAGATGGTTTCATGGGTAGGGTAGATGAAGAGGCGATTAGAAGGTAGATGGAGGATGAGTGAATGAATGGGTAAAGGGTCAAGGGTAGGAAAAGATAAATGGATAGATGGACACAAAGGTGTGTGAGTAGGTGGACTGAACAGTGAATGCCTCAATGACTGAGGCATTGGACAAACAGATGCATGAGTAAATGAAGAGTCAAACACATGGATGGATAAAAGAATAGATGAAAGAGTGAACAGATGGCAGGATAGTGGAGCACTAGGTGGATTAACAGTTGGAGGGTGCAGAGAAGAGAAGGTAGGTGGTGGATGGGGAGACATGGATGGGTAGGTGAGTAGATAAAAGGGTGAAGATGAACAGATATATAGCTTTATGGGTGGATGGAAAGAAGATAACAGGGTGATGGAGAGAGACATGTACAAGGAAGTGGGAGCAAATGAACAGATAGGTGGGTGGATAGGTAGATTGAACTGGAGGATGGGTGAATGGGTAGTGGGAGAGTGCATGGAAGAATGGGTAAGTAAAGGAGTGAAGAAGTATGTAAGCAGGTGAGTGAATACATGGATGATGAGTGGAGAGAGGTAGATGAGTAAATGGGTGCAGGTGTAGCGGGTGGATGGATGGGCTGGCAGATATTGGATAAGGAGGTGAGCAAGTACAGCAATGGTGGATGGATGGTAAGTGGCTGAGTGGTGAAACTCTGAGACACCTGGGCCTCCCCTGCAGGCCAAACCAGAGGCTCACCTTGCTGGCAGGAGTTGGGACACTGGATCGCCCAGCCTTCTTGAGGTAGGTAATCAGGGAAGGGGTGCCTGCCCTGGACTCATCATCAGAGCTGGTGTGTGACAGGTCAGCCTCACCAGTGCGTGCCAGCTCGTCAGCTGTGGAGTAACCCTCAGAGAGGTAGGGGGCCACCTCCTCTGCCTCCTGCCGCAGGCGCTGATGGCGTCCGTCCTCCTCAGGCAGCTCGCTGATGGAGTCCAGTGTGGGCTCGCGGCTCATGCGGCGCTTCCGGGCCAAGGCCTCCCACAGAAGATGTAGGTCACCCTCCTGGGCTGCCTCAGGAGGGAGGCTGGGCTGAGCTGGGGCCTCACCCTCTGAGCCTGGGGTCAACATCACTGAGGAGGGCAGTGGATAGTCAGCCAGACCTGGCCAGCTGGGTCAGCACATTCTGCTGCTCACCAGAATATAGCCTGCACCAGCAACTTACCCTCACTAGACCTCTGCTTCCCTGCCAGGGCCATTAGGTAGTACAATCTAAATTTACAAAGCGTTAGAGGCCTGTAACTGCCCTCTCTAACTTCAGAAAACCCACACAATGTATTTCTCTGGTCCCTGGAGGGCAGGCAGTAGTCAGGAAAGGGCTCTGCCAAGTCACAAACTGCACTAATTTTTACCCTTCCTGGTTCTGCTGAGACACAAAGCCTAGAAGGTGCACAGCCTCAATCTCAGAAGCCAGCCCTGCTCCCTACCCACTAGCATCTCACCATGCTGACTTGTCTCCTGGATAACTTTCACTCATAGACATGCCACCTCCTCCAGGAAGCCTCCCTGGATCTCCCACACATACACATGGTCCTGCAAGCCCCTCATCACACTGAGAGCTGCCTGGGGTCTGTACCCCTCCCTGCTCACACTAAGCATTGCTGACTTAATGAACTTCACATACAGAAATGCAGTGTCCCCAGGGCCCTCATGCAACAAGACGGGAGGATAAAGACAGGCCAAGCCTGCTCTAAAACCCAGCCCTCACAGTAACCCTGGGAAAGAAGATTATTAGTGCTGCCACTTGTTACATATTAGAAACAGAACCAGCAAGGTTAGGTTTCAGGTCACAGCCTGCGGGAGGGAGGCCAGGGCTGAAACCACAGCCACATGAGCCTGCCTACTCCGACTGCTGCCTTCTGCCAAAGGCCCTGATGGAAGCCACCTTACATGAAGTATGGTGCCCAGGGTGAGGGAATGAAGGGGACCCACTATGGTGGGGTCAAGACCCTGGTCTCAGGACATGTGGCAGCTGGCCTGGCTGCCAAGGATGAGGGGTATGAGATCAGGGGTGAGAACTGTGAAGCCTGCCCCAAAACCCACCCTGAAGGCCTCAGTCTCCCTTCCCTAGGACAGCTAGTACCAACAGGTGCCAGGTTACACCTAATGTCCCAGGGTTCCCCACTCTCAGGAGGCTGCCCACCCCTAGCCTCAGCAGGACGCACCCTGGAAGGTGCCAGTGGCCGTGGGGGCCTGGCCACAAGCTGGAACACAGCAGTACTCGCCCTGGTCCTCTGGTGTGAAGCCTCGGATGACCAGTATCTGTTGCCGGCCCTGTGTGATGATTTCAAAGCGGCCACCAGGCTGGATGCTTTCCGTCCCCTTATGCCAGATGACCTTGCTGACCTCAGCCACTACTTCACACTCCAAACGCACATCCTCACCAGCTGCCACTTCTCGGCTCACAGGGGGCAAGGGGGCAGGTGCAGACTCCAGGGGCTCTGCGGAAACAGCATCCATGTGCAGAGAATAGCCCATGTCAGCAAGGATGCACCTCAGGACCTGGACTCTCCTCGTGGTTCACAGGGCCCCTACTAGTGGTGGGGTCTTCTTGGGGCTCGCAGAGGACCTTGCCAGCAGAGGAGACTTCAACTTCCCAGTAAGACTCGAGGCTTAACTGTTGTTGTTATGTGCCATCGTGTCGGACCCGACTCACAGTGACCTCTCCTTGGGTTTCTGAGGCAGTATCACTACGGAAGTAGATTGTCCCATCTTCCTTCCAAGGAGTTACTGGTGGGTTTGAACTGCCAGCCCTCTGGTTAGCAGTCCAGCGCCTTAGGCACTACGCTACCAGAGCTCCCCTAGGCTTAACTGTTGTTGTTGTTGTTAAGTGCCGTCGAGTTGGACCTGACTCATAGAGACCCCTCCTTGGGTTTTTGAGGCAGTATCACTACGGAAGTAGATTGCCCCATCCTCCTTCTGAGGAGTGGCTGGTGGGTTTGAACCACCAGCCTTCTGGTTAGCAGTCAAGTGCCTTAGGCACTATGCTACCAGAGCTCCTTAGACTTAACTACTACCCCATTATTACATGAAACAACAGGCCCAGGGCAGGGGTTTAGGATCAAAATGCACACTGGGACCCAGGACCAGCAGCTGCCTGACCCCCTAACCCTGGGAGTAGGGTTGTGACTCACCAAGCTTCACCATCTGGGGCAGGTGCACAGGTTCCCCAGCACCCACAGGGCCCACAGCCGCAACACGGAAGCGGTATGTCTCCCCGGGGGCCAGGCCGTCCACTACACATTCAGGCCCTGGTACCAGCTCATGACACAGCTGCCATTCTCCTGTGGCTGCTGTCTTCATCTCCACCCGATAGCCGCAGAGGCCACCACCACCATCACTGGCCGGGGCCACCCAGGACAGGGTTACAGAGTGGCCACTTCGGCCCACCACTTCTGCATCCTCTGGTGGGTCAGGGAGACCTGCAGGGTGTCCAGTGAGCATAGGAATGGATAAAATATAGCAGCCTGCCTCCCCAAGAGGCTAGCCCTCAGCTGAACCCAGGTTCTATTCCTAAGGGTCTGGGGTCAGATGGGGCCAGCTGCCCCGTGGTCTGTGTGTGCCTATGTCTGGTTCTCTGGCCTGTTCTGGGCCCACCAGAGGCCAAGGGGACAGAGGCGGGTGGCATCTGTGTGAAGCATCTGCATGTGGCTCATGTATGTGTCACTAAGCCTAGCCCAGGGCGGAAGAGTATAAGAACCCCCAGCAGCCTTGGGGCAGCACCCAGTAGGAATGAGGCTACCAGGACCTGCCTGATCCCTGCTGCTCCTGCAAGGCTCTGCTCAGGGGGCTGATACCCTAGGGTCACCCTCAAGGAACATCAGCAGATTCATGCAGACAGACAAGTCCAAAGCCCAAAGTACAGTGGGTCCCAGCCAACAGTACCCTTCCCAGGGCTCAGGAGCCATCCCCACGTGGTCTCACCATGCCTTACAGGCTTAGGACCCTTAGGACTGGCTGAGGTATTGGGTGTGGGAGTGGGAAGGGCACCTGAGGAAGGTCCACCCTACCTGCTGCTCCCAGTCTCTCTGTGAAACCAGAATGGTAAAACAGCTGTACTCCTCACCTTCCCTGACTCTTTGAGCTCCTAGTCATCTCCTACTTTAAGAAACAAGCCTTATTTGGGGATCCAGGGACCCCTCCTGCAGACTCAGTGGAGGCCTTGGGGGCTATGCCTGGGCCCAGATGTGAGAAGCTTGTCTCTAGACCAGGAGCCCTGAAGAAGCTGGCAATGCCTGCCACAGAGGGCAGAGTCACTCTTGGGGAAGGGCCAACTGTGACCCAATGCCTCAGGAACAAGGCCAAGCTGCTCCCCAGTCTGGGCAGGTCAGAGTAAGCCAACCCCAACCCCAGGACTCAACCATGTCCTTTGAGAGCACCCAGAAGGCTGGGACGTAATGAGACCCTTCCCACAGAACAGACGTTGTGAACTACTCACCCAGCACAGTAAGCCGGGCAGAGGCTACCGCCTCACGAGCAGCAAAGGTGACCTCCCCAGCATGGTGGGGCCGGGCGCTTCGCAGCAGCAGGGCATGATGGCTGCCATCAGCAGTGACTACCCAGTCAGTGTCCTCTGGCAGGATGGCAGCACCATTGAGGTACCAGGAAGCCTCACCCACAGGTACTATCTCACTGAGCGTGCAGCGGAAAGTGGCCTGCCCACCAGCCTGCACTGTCACATCCTGCAGGGGCTCCAGGAGCTCCAGGCGCCAGCCTGTGAACACATGAGCAAGGAAGGGTGGCCCAAGCCACAGGGCACAGTGGGGCAAACAATCATGCTTCCCAGTCCCACAAGGCCTCAGACCACACCCTCCACCCCTTGCTGCAAAGCATGTGGGCCCAGCCACACAGTCACCTCTGACAGTGAGGAACGCTGAGGTCACCATATCCCCGACCAGAAAAGTGACTCGGCAGCTGTCTTGTGGCCTCAGGTTTTTGAGCAGGAGCAAGTGACGCAAGCCATTCTCAAAGTAGACCACCTCTGCATTCTCTGAGGTGCGAACTGGCTCATCATCCAGTAGCCAGGTGTGGGCGGCCACCTCTGGCTGTGACAGCTGGCACTCGAACAGCGCTTCCCCACCCTCCAGCGCCTCCACATTCTCCAGGCCCCGCACCACTGTGTTCTTGGCTGTGAAGAGAGGACACAGTTCAGGGTCTTCCGTACTGCCTCTTCTGTTAGTGTTACAACCACATGGAAGACAGTACTCAAGGTCCACCATGGAGTGGCCCACACTTGACCTTCATGGCCACTCATCACATGTAGCCTGTGGTGTGATCCTATAGGGGAGCATCCACATCTCAGGGTGAGAAATGGATGCTCAGACCTCAGTGTAGGTCTCTGAGCCACCTCCTAGCCCACACAAGCCCACCCTGTGCAATCCTGCAGTTCGAGTCTAGGTGAGGCCATGATCCCTTCATTGCTGCCATGTCTCCTGAGAAACTCAATGTAGTGTATTACAAACCACAGTCCATGGTGCTTCCCATTCCCCATCCCCCCAACTCTCTGGTATGTACAATTACATGAGTCTTCATAGCAGTCACACACAGGCAGAGGCCTGCTCCACCTAACCTTCAGCTTGTACCAGCACTTGGCTGGCCATCTCCAGGGCCTCCAGAGTCCAAGTACAATCAGTACCTTGGAAGGCAAGGTAGCAGGGGCCTTCCTAGAAGTGGTGGCCTCCGAGTGATAGTCATGATCAACCTGCCCCAGGGAACAGTGCTCCAGAGAGGGGGATACTTGTGGGTACTTTTGACCAAGGGATCTCAGTACACAGAGCCCTTGACTGGATCCCTGAGCACCCACCAGGGACCAGACACCCCTTGTTCATCCCCCTTCCTCTAGATCAGCTTTCCCTTCACCAACTGGAATTTCACTATCACCAAACCCACTGCCATTGAGTCAATTCCAACTCATAGTGACCCCATTGGGTTTGTAAGCCAGTGAATCTTTACACAATTAGATTGCCCCATCTTCCTTCCTTGGAACAGCTGATGGGTTTGAACCATCCATTTTCTGCTAGCCAGCAGTCAAACGCCTTAGGCACTATGCCACTGGAGCTAGGAAATGGCACAGGCCAGACGGACGTAAGGGTCATAGTTGCTCTTGACAGGGATAAGGCAACAGCAAGCCTGATCAGTGGCCAAGTGGGCATGGGTGAAATCAGAGCTCCCTCAGGTCTACATCACTATTGCTTGTTTTAATACAGCCCAGGTTTCAAAATGGCAACTGATCCCGTAGCTCCCAGTCCTACCCTCACCATCTCCACTGCTGCTGTTGTTGTTATGTGCCGTCGAGCGGGACCCGACTCATAGCGACTCCTCCTTGGGTTTCCGAGGCAGTATCACTACGGAAGTAGATTGCCCCATCTTCCTTCTGAGGAGTGGCTGGTGGGTTTGAACCACCAGCCTTATGGTTAGCAGTCAAGTACCTTAGGCACTATGCTACCAGAGCTCCCCCATCTCCACTAGGTACCCAGAAATAACTTGCCACTTCTCTGCTCAAAAATTGCCAGTAACGCCCCATCATCTCACAAAGGACTGAAAGCCCAGATCCTGCACTGCCTATGAGCCCCAGATCCAAGCCCCTTGCCCTGCCCTACACACAGAAGCTTATGGTCTGTTCGTGCCTCTTTTCCCCCAGATTTCCATGTCTCAGCCCTCACCATCCTCAGGCCCCAACTCGGATGTCACTGTCTAAGGGCCTTACTGTCTGACCTATTAAATTGCAGCCCATCCCACCTTGCAGTCACAGAGTGGCAGCCAGAGTGGCATAGATCTGGGCCCTGTTTGCTCATTCCAGCCTTGGCAAAAACTGCCTCCACCCTCCAGCTCACCCACCTGCCCAGCTTCAGGCTTCTGCAAACGGGACATGACCACAGATAAATGAAGCCCCAGGGGTTGGGGTCTACAGTCCCACCTAGCCATGGGGTATCATCACTGAGCTACAGAGTAGGACAACGCTGACCTGCCCAGGAAGGGGCAGTGTGGGATTTGAATCCAGGCTTGCAGAGCTCAGCCTTCCTTCTGCTCCAGGGCACAGCTTCAGCTAGACCTTTGGCTCTCTGCTCTAGGCGGCCTCATCTGCCCGCTCCTCCTCTAAAAGCCCTCAGCCCACCTGCCACCTGCCTCCTCCAAAAGTTCCTCTTGGCTGTTTTGGACACAGAGCCTTTTGGAGCAACTTCTGCCCAGGGACTATCCTCCCCACCCCCATCATAGAAGCTTGGGTGGTGGAGGAAAGCAGAGGTGTGGGAGGGGTGGGTCAGGTCCTGGTGCAGCCAAAGCGAAAGCCACCTGCTGTGATCATGCTCAGATCTGTATCATCTCATGTTTTCTCTTAAATCTCACTGTTGTGCTGTCTGACTTTTGTTTCCCATCATACTGGAGGCTTCATTGTCAGGTTCTGGCCATCACTGCCTGCCATCCCCCCATTCTAGCACAGCCCGAGCCTCACCAGGTCCTGGCTGTCACTGCCTGCGCCCTCCCATCTTGGCACAACCTGAGCCTCGCTGTGGCTGCGGCCGGGTCCTGGCTGCCAGCTGGGCGGCCTCACCTTGCACTTGCAGCAGGGCCACCACGCGGGTGCCCGCAGCCTCACAGGCATAGATGCCGCTGTCGCAGGGCAAGGCTGGCCTGAGGGTCAGCCTGGCCACGTTCCAGTCCTGCTCTATGATGACCCGGCGCCCGTCGGCACGCACCTCCTGCTCATCCCTCTTCCATGTGGCCTGCACAGGCCGGGAGTACTGGCAGAGGAGCTCGGCTGTGCCATCCTCCTCCACCACCAGGTCCTGCATGGCACTGACCACTTCCACCGTGGGATCTGTCGGCCGACACCCCGGGACATGCATTAGGCACAGCAGCGTGGCCACACCCCCTGCTGCTGCTCTGTGGTGTCAGTGGCTGCAAGCTTGGACAAGCAAGCAGGGAGCTGAGGGAGTGGGGGTGGGTGCAGAGTGTTCGTCCCGCAGGACTTTGTTTACCTGTGCAGAAAGATATGTGGCCAGACAGGCCCCACATGGTCCCTCCACCCTCAGCTGACAGCACTATTTGGTGGGTCTCTGTCCAGGCTAGGCCCTCCTGCCCCTGTGCTCCACCTCCCCCAGTCCAAGCCTTTGCCCATCACTCTGCAGGGGACACAGCAGCCCCTCCTGAAAGCCCTCAGGCCCTGGGCATGCAGCCTCTCAGCCCAGCCTAGCCTATCTCAGCCCAGCCTAGCCTAGCCCCTCCACAGGGGCCCTGGGTCTCTCAGCAACACATTTGCCCCTACCCAGGGTCCTAAAATGACTGCCTTACCCCATCCCCACTTGTTGAAAATCCACTGAACAAAGGTTGTTCTCTCTCTAAACTTGAACTCTCCAAAATTTCTAGAGGATATGAATTATTTTTCTAATCTTAAATGCCAATCAATAAAAAGGAAGTTGTTCCTATCCTCCGCCCAGCTCTGGGGCAGCCACATCTACCCCAATTTCAGCCCCAGCCTCTGGTTGTGGGGGAGGTACCTCTGTCCCCCAGCACAATGTTTGGGTGTATGCACCAGACAAAGCAGGAGACCAGGATGCCTCTACTGGAGGTGGGGGGACTGGCCCTCCCCATTGGCCAGCCTTTTCTACACCCACAGCAGATGCAGGGAGAGTTCCAGGCAGGGTGCTTTGGCCTTGGATCAGAGGAACTCAAGGTTTCTCTTGCCCTTCATGCTGCCCACCAAAAGTACCTGAGGGGCAGGGGCTTCATGGTGGGGGAACACTGAACCCCAGCTCACAGCAGGTGACAGCCAAGTGGGCAGTGCCTGGGATCCTATGGACAGGCGGGGCATGGGTTCGGTCTTCAGTTTCACCTCTTCCCTAAGCCTGCTGTTCTTATCTATGAAGTGGGGCAGGAATCTGCTACCCATCCTCAGAGCTGGCCCACACAGACAACACATGAGGATGATGCCCAGTCCATGCTATGAGGGCTGGCCATGCTCTGACCCTTACCCACCCCCGGGAGCCTGCAGGAAGCATGCAGGGCAGGGGCAGAAGCACCAGCATGGGAATGAGGCAGCTCACTGGCCAATACCTTTGATCAACAACTTGGCCGTGGAGACCAGGGACCCCGCCCGGAAGGTGATGGTGCCTGAGTCAGCGACCCCCAGGCCTGAGAGTATGAGGGAGTGGAGGGTCCCATCACACACAGTGATGGTGCTCTGGGGGCCGTCCTGAAGCAGGGTCCCATCCAGCCACCAGCGGGCCTCTGGCCCACCAGTGCGAGACACCTCACAGGAAAATGTGGCCACCTCCCCCGCGAAGACATCCACGTTCTGCAAACCACGCACCAGGCGCAACGCTGCCTCTGAGTGACAGAGTGAGAATAAGGACCTGGGATGGTCACCCTGAGATACACCTGGGTAAGGGCCACCCTGTGGTCTGCCCGGGCAGGAGCCATCCTGGGCCACCCTTGGGTCCACCTGGATGGGGCCACCCTGGGATCCACCTAGGTGGTGGCCACAAGGAGCTGAAAGGTGGCCTGTGGAGATTTGGGAGTCAAGCCTGCCAGTTGTCCAACCCTGAGCACAGATGGAGACATACAGGCTCCACTCCCAGGGTGCACCTTCTCATGGTCCTGCACCCACCCCCACCTCAGAACATACTCAGTTTTGGGAACAGCTGACCAGTGGTGGCAGAGCAGACACACCTCAGGACCCGTGGCTGGGGACCATTATGGCACTGAGTCAGCATGGTGGGGTGGGAAACAGGTAGGAAGGAGAGGCAATGTGCCTGCCTGGACAAAGAGGAACTATCTTGGGAAGCAAGCACCCTGTCCCTGAGGTATACCATCCTGAGAGTGTAACTTCTCCAGATGTTCTCTGAGGTCCCTTCAGTCCTAAGATCATGGGATGTCACAGAGGGATCTGAGTTCCAGAAGTTGCCTGGACTCCATACAGAAGCTCTGCCTGCCCTGTGCCCTCCCCACACTCCTCCCCACATCCCATCCTCCTCTCTGTAAGTCCCCACTCTTGCTCAAGGCAAGGGTAGTGATGAAGCTAAGAGTATTCCAGGGCACTGCTGCCCTCACAGCCAAGCCCCCACACCATGGGTACGAAAAGGACCGACTTGGTTCTGAGAGAACTACCTGCTACCTGGCTCTGGGAGTGCGGCCTGACCCTCCCCCACCTTCCAACTAGAATGGAAGGCACATGCACCCCTCTCTGTCCTTACCTCTGAGCCCTTTACCCATCCAGGCCCATACTATGCCATTCTGAGGGCTCCTTGCAAAGTGACAGAAACTGGCCCACAGTTCATAAAATCCAGATTCTTCCTGTTCACCTACTCCCACGGCCCATTTCCCCTCATCTCTCTGGGTGGAAAATGAAAGGGGAGAGCTTCCAGAGGTGCCAGCTACCCTCAACATGACGCCAGGCATGGCAGCCAGCTTGAATGTCTGCCTCTGCCTTCCTCCAACAGACCCTGTCATCAGGAAGCCCCTAACAACCTTCCTCTCTATATTCTTCCTCTTTGTGCACTGTTAAAACAGCAGTATAGTCCCCAAACTGCTCCCTTGATGATCTTCCCCAAGTGCCCAGCCAACTGCCTTCTCTTGCTCTGCTTGCTCCCTAAGTCTCATCCAGTGCTTGTTCTCAAGCTTGCCTGTCACAAGACCTACTGGGGCACCAATTCAAACACACTCTGCCCAGGGCCCTCCCACAAAGTCAAGGCTTGGCAGTGTGGGCCAGGTCCAGCATCTGTATGTGAACAGGCTTGCCCAGGCTGGCCTAGAGCAGGGCTTAAGCATAGCCCTCAGCTTGACCTGCAAGGCCCAACACAAAAGCCCCACAAAGCTACCTTTACATAGCTGCCCACCCTACTGAATTCATTAGACCTTTCTGGGCTCCTGTTTAGAGCACCCAGGAAACTCCCTCTCGTCCATCACTCAACCTGAGGGCACTAGCACTTTTGAGCTTTTCCCAACCCTGTAGGCCACAAAACTGATCACATTCATCCAGCCCCTAAAGACTCAGGAGACATCTGGGATGTCAGGACATACTTTGTATCCACTTCCAACTCCAGCAGCATACTGAAGGCTTCCTGAGGGTCTACCTGCATCCAGCCCATCTCAAGGTCTGGGACTTGGTCAAGGGTACAGGATTAGAGGGTTTGTTCGATGAATGGATAAATGGGTGGGTGAATGGATGGATGCGATGGTAAAAGGATGGATGCTAGATGGATGCTAAATGGATGGATGAAGGTGGGTAGATGAATGAACAGTAGATGGATGAATGGATGGAGGGATGATGTTGGTGGATGGCTGGTGAATAGATGGATGTTGTTGTTGTTGTTATGTGCCATCGAGTCAGATCCGACTCATAGCAACCCCTCCTTGGGTTTCCGTAGAGATATCACTACAGAAGTAGATTGCCCAACCTTCCTTCCGAGGAGTGGCTGGTGGGTTTGAACTGCCAGCCTTCTTGTTAGCAGTCAAGTGCCTTAGGCACTATGCTACCAGAGCTCCCGAATACATGGATAGTGGATGATAAATGGGTGGACAATTTTAGATGGATAGGTTGTGGATGAATGAATGGTTGGTGGGTGGATGGATGGACAGATGGGTGGTTGGGTAGATAAATAGAAGGATGGTGGATGGTGAATGGATGGTGATGAATGGATGGCTGATAGTGGATGGGTAAATGGCCAATAGCTAGATTAATGGATGGATGGATGGAAAACTGGTGGGTGATGGATGGGTGGTGGATGAGTAGACAGTGGATGATGGATAAATAGATGATTTTAGATGGATAAATGGTGAACAAATGGATAGATGGTAGATGGATGAATGGACAGATGATGGATAGATGGGAATGAGTTTGAAAACCAGGAGTAGGACAAGTTCTACAGGCAAAATATATCCCAAGTTGAAAACAATATCCTTAAAATCTTGTTTGAAGGCCTCAGGCATAAACACTATGCTTGAATTCGTACATGTGTCATAGTTGTCCTATTGGATCAGCACCAATGAACCTATTAGGTATGTAGGTGTGTGTTAATATAGACATGTGTGCATGTGCCTATACTTGGGTCATAGGGGTAGGTGTGTAGAGGATAGAAGTCTTCACCAGCCTACCCCAGTGGCCTGGTCATGTTTTAGTGGGTAGGGTCCAAGCAAAGTCACTACTGAAAGTATTAAGTTTCTGATCATACCCCCTGACACCTGCCAATGGGCACTGTCCCTCTGGAGGAGATGTTCTTGTGCCCAGGAGAGGCTGGGCCAGGTATGGGAGAGGGCTCCTTACCTGTTACCTTCAGCTGGGCTTCTGAGCTGCACAAGCCCACTTGGAAACTGATGCTTCCAGCATCCTCGAGGGTTACCTGAGGACACGAAGATAGAGGTGGTCAGCCCCAGCAAGCCCAATCCTGACCAGGAGGGATCCTCAGCCTCCCCATGGGGCTAACCCCCTCTGATCACATGCCCAAGGCAAGGGGCTCAGCACTTCCCCAGCAGACCCTCCAGGGAAGGCATTTCTGAGTGAGTGAAGATCCTTCCTGATGGGGTGAGAACCTCCCACCAGGGCTCTCCCCTCCCAAGATATAAAGTAGAAGGGTCTCTGGGAACACTGTGAGGAGCCAGGTCCCAGCGAGTTCACCTTGTGCAGAGTGAGTGCATGGAGCACACCATCTTGTACTGTGATGTCATTCATCTCATTGGCCTGCAAGGGCACCCCACCCAGAGCCCAGCGGGCCTCCTGGCCAGGGGCCCTGGACAGCCGACACCAGAAGTGGGCATCCTGGCCCTCGCTGAGCTGCACGTCCTGCAAAGGCTCCAGGATGACCACCTCAGGGGCTGAGTGTGGAAGGCACAGGCATGGTTCAGGTCTGGATGTTCCACCCCAGCAGGACAGCCCTCCTCCCAGGAGGACCTGCCCCTGTCACCCCACTCCAACTCCTGAAGACACAGCACAGAGGGGATCCTCCTTCCAGTTGAGGCTCTCCTGGGCACTAGACCATAGAGCTGGCAGAGATGACCACTGACTGGTCTGAACTTCTGTGAAGCCCACCACTTCCTGCTCCCACAGCCTGACTTAGACCCATAGAACTGAAGTCCCACTCTCCATCCTGACATCTTATCACCCTGAGATTGCCCACCCATGCGCCTCTCCCCCCCACTGGTTCCCAAGTTCTCAAGAACAGGGATCCTTCATTGTCTGCCTCTGTCCCTCCCTCTTCCATAGGCCTGAGCAGAGAGAGGCCCCACAGCCCACCCCTGGCCCCACTACCTCGGACAGTGAGCTGGGCAGAGGAAGTGCAGAGGCCCACATGGAAGGAGACAGTACCAGCATCCTCAGGTGTGATGCCCTTCAGACGCAGCGTGTGGGTACAGCCTCCCTGCACGCCCAGCTCAGTCACCTCATTGCTCTGTAGCAGAAGGCCCTGGAGCCGCCACTCCACACCTGTGGCCCCGGGCTTCGACACCTCACAGGAGAACTCCACGTCCTCATCAGCCTGCACCTCAGCATCCACCAGCCCCCGCACAATGGTCACCTCAGGCTCTGGAGGAGGTGAGAGGAGTACCTTGACCAGCTGCAGCTCTGGTCCCACTCCTCCAGGAAGGCTTCCTCAATGTCCCATGCTCCCCTCCCACCTCAGCTTCATCTGCCTATAGCATCTGTCACCGAGCTCACAGGCCCTCCCATGAGTGCTGGGCAGAGACTGACCAGAGCACCTTTGTCCGTAAGAAACAGGCGAGGAATTCCTCTCACCTCTGCAGCCAGCCACATCCAGGCTAGCTAGGTACCAGGGTCCCCTTCAGGAAAGACTGCCTGCCAGGAGCTCAGGGACTTTGACCCTCAGTTGTGCCACTGTTAATGCCCTTCTGCCAGGGCATTGGTGTGGTTACATAATGGGGCAAGGGGCTCACATACTCCCAGCCACCCCTGTGGACAGCATTTGGCAAGGGTGGTGTTTAAGGCAGGCTGGATGCTATCCCAGGTGACTTGAAAGAGTGTGGTAGGAAGGGCCTCAGGGAATCCCTCACCTTTGACCTTGACAGAGGCTGAGGTTCTCTGTCCACCCATCATGCAGGTGTACTCGCCCGTGTCCTTGGCCTCAAGGCCGTGGATCAGCAGCTCACATGTAGCTCCTTGGTGCCGCATCTCATACTTGGGGCCCTCACGAAGTTCTACACCTTCCTTGAGCCATTGCACGGGAGCCCCTGGCTCATCCCTATTCAGCTCACAGCACAGCCGGGCCACACCACCCACCTCTTGCTCCGTGTTCTGCAGCGGGGCCTTGAACTGGGGCCTGGGGACTAAGGAACCAGAGAGGGGTGTCAGGCCCTGTGGTCAAGCTGGGGGGACCAGCCAGATGAGCAAGATAGGGTAGGGTGGGGCTCACCATGGATCAAGAGGCTGGCTGTGCTCTGCCGCTGCCCTGTGTCACAGGTATAGTCCCCAGCATCCTCCTGCTCAGCGTTGCATACCCGCAGTTCAACAGCTGTGCCATCCTGTACCATCTGGTACTTGGCACAGGGGAAGAGCTGCAAGGAGCCCTTGCGCCACTCCACACTGGCTCCTGGCTGGCTCAGCTCACAGCACAGCCGTGCTGTGGCACCCTCGTCCACCTCCTGGGGCTGCAGCTCCCGCAGGAACCACACAGGTGCAGCTACATGGGGGACAGGGAGCATGAGGGCAGGCTCTGGCTCCCTGCCTAAAACACCCCAGAGCATACATTGAAGACAGCATCAAGGATAGGCTATGTCCATTCTAAGTAGGGCATGTGCCCTACAATCGGCCCCTGGGGCAAAGGCAGAACCTATGCAGGGACTGGGCTCTCAGCCTCAGGGCCCAGGTGAGGCAGGGCTGGCCACAAGCAGGTCTGGAAGATGGAGCCCACCTGTGACTGTGAGGGTGGCACTGGTACTCTGGGAGCTGCAGGTGCAGCTGTACTCCCCAGCATCCTCCCGATGCAGGTCCTGCAGCAGCAGCTCTGCTACAGGCCCCCGCTTCCGCAGCTCCAGCCTCTCACTGGCTTGCAGCTCTAGCCCACCCTTGCTCCAGATTACAGTGGTGTCTGGCATGGATAGCTCACATCGGAGGCTGGCTGTGGAACCCTCCTCAGCCTGCAGGCTCTGCAGCGGTGTTCTGAACACTACCTGTTTGGCTTTGGGGGTGGACAGGGAAGAGGGAAGACAAAGTGTCAGCTTCAAGACAACCCCCAGAACCAGTAGCAAACCCAGTCAAGTGGGGCCAGGCCAGGCACTACCCATAGCTTCTCCTCAGATCGCTCACCAACCTCCACAGAAGCTAGACACATGGCACAGGCTCAGAGGAGGGGGTCATGGGTCCACATTTGCTCAAAGAAGGGAACATGGTTGGGGAGCCTGAGGAGAGGGGCCATAAGTCTGACCCAAGGCATTCCTCATGCCAGATTCTAAACAAGGAGCCCCCGAACACAGCTATATTCCTTAGGTTATCAGGGCAGGGTAGTTCCTCTTAGACCCCACCAGGGCCTTGTCCCCTCAGATTCTCTCAGGGCAGGTCTGAGTCTTCTTAGACCCTCCAGTAGAGGGCTGTACTCCCAAGACTCTCAAGGGCAGGAGGGCACAGACTCCTCCCCAGAGCATAGTTGTCTCTGCCAGACCTCTCAGTGTAGGGCCATGTGTCTGCAGACCTTCAAGGGCAGGTCCAAAACCTTTCAAACCTCAAGGTAAGGCCATGTTCCTTCAGACACTCCATGGCATGGCTAAGTCCCCTCCAGATCCCCCAGCACAGATCCTAGTCCCCTCTGACTTCCAGGGTAAAGCTGTGTTCCCTCAGACCTTGAGATAGGGCAGGTGCTGTTCTACCCCACAGGGACCTGTCTAAACATTAGGAAGGAGAGCAGAGGTATGAAAAGAGTAAGCAGAGGACAGGCAGCAAACAGCAAGACACAAAGGAGGAATGAGGACAAAGAACAAGTAGGCATGGTAGAGTTGAGGATGTAAAGGATATCAAGAACCCACCCTAGTCCACACAGCAACAAGTGGTCTTTACCACTTTTGGTCATCATGAGGAAGACAAACATGGGGTGAACAGAGGAAAAGAAAAGACGGACATGAGTGATATGGAAACACAATTGGTTCAGAGACCACATCACTTGTCCATGTGGCCACACACAGCTTTTACCCTTCACAGTGAGTTTTGCTGAGGTCCTCTCCTGCTCACATATACACATATACTCCCCAGCATCCTCCATGGCCAGATCACAGATCTCCAGTTCACAGGTGGTCCCATCCTGCTTGAAACTGTATCTGTCCCCAGGGCTGAGAGTCTTGAGGCCCTTTCTCCAATGCACAGGGGCTGCCTTGCTCAGCTCACACTGCAGTGTGGCTGTGGCCCCTTCCATGGCCTCCTTACTCTTCAGAGCTTGTATGAATCTGGCTGGCAGGGCTGGTAAGGGCCAAATGGACACAGAGAACATCAGACTGTCTGAAAGACTTTGTGTACAGGACACAGACACCCACAAAAATTACACAAACTCCCAAAGGAGCAAAGAAGGGACAAAAAAAGTGAACAAATTGTGAGGAAAACAAATAGCCATGGTGGGAACAGAGCACAAAGAAGAATAGACATGAGTTTCATGAACATGAACATCATGATATCTATTGGTCAAAGGATTGAGGAGCTGGGAGAACCCAGGAGACCCCAGTGAGATGGAGAATAGATAATCATAGATTTCATGCAGGCCTTGGCACAGAGGGAGGAACACCCTCTGGTGTCTCGTAGGACACCATGGTGCAGAAAACACTCCACTGATCCATAGCACCACACCAAGTTTTACCCTTCACAGAGAGTTTTGCTGAGGTCCTCTCCTGCCCGCACACACACAAATACTCTCCAGCATCTGCCACAGCCAGGTCACGGATCTCCAGTTCACACATGGCCCCATTCTGTCTCAGGGTGTATCTGTCACCAGTTCTGAGGGTCTCAGAGCCCTTCTTCCACTGCACAGGGGCCATCTTGCTCAGTTCACAATGCAGTGTGGCCACTGCTCCTTCCATGGCTTCCTCACTCTTCAGACCTTGTATGAATCTGGCTGGCAAGGCTGGGAGAGCCAAATGGACATGGAGAACATCAGACCATCTAGAAAACTTTGTATGTGGGACAGATACCCATTAAAAACACACAAACTCCCAAAGGAGTAAAGGGAGGGACAAGCAAACAAATGAAAAAATGTTGAAGTAAACAAAAGGTTGTGGGGGAAATAGAGAATAAGGAAGAATAGACATGAGTGTTGTGAATATGAACATCATGACATCTATTCATCAAGTGGTCAAAAAGCTGGGACAACTGAAGAGACCTCAGACAGATGGAGAACAGACATCATGGAGTCTCACAGAGTATGTGACACAGATGAAGGAAGAAGGTAGTGACATGGGATATCATGGTTCAGAAATCTTGCTACAGAGCCACTAGGCAACATATAGTCTTTACCCTTCACGGTGAGTGTGGCTGAGGTCCGCTCCTGCCCACAGATACACAAATACTCTCCAGCATCTGTTATAGCCAGGCTACAGATCTCCAGCTCACAGGTGGCTCCTTCCTGCCTCAGTGTGTATTTTTCCCCAGTGCTGAGGGCCTTGGGGCCCTTCTTCCACTGCACAGGAGCCATCTTGTTCAGCTTACACCAAAGTGTGGCTTTGGCCCCTTCTGTGGCCTCCTCATTTTTCAGACCTTGTATGAACCTGGCTGGAAGGGCTGGGAGGGTCAAATGGACATGGAGAACATCAGACTGTCTGGAAGACTTTGTGTATGGGACAGACACCCACTGAAAACACATAAACTCTCAAAATAGTTAAAGGAGGCACAGGCAAATAAATGAACAAGTAGCGAGTAAAGAAAATGGTCACGGGGGAACAGAGGAGGAAGAGGGATAGATATGAGCCTCATGAACATGAACACCATGACATCTATTGGTCAAAGAATTGAGGAGGTTGGAGAACCCAAGAAACCTCAGTGAGATGGAAAACAGACATTCATGGAGTTGCATGGAGGCTTTGGCACAGATGGGAAGAAAATCATGACATAGGACACCACAGTGCAGATACCACTAAACGATCCAAGTGGCTACAGAAAGCTTTTACCCTTCACAGAGAGCTTTGCCGAGGTCCTCTCCTGCCCACATACACACAAATACTCTCCAGCATCTGCCACAGCCACGTCACGGATCTCCAGCTCACATGTGGCCCCATCCTGCCTCAGGGTGTATCTGTCACCAGTGTTGAGGGTCTCAGAGCCCTTCTTCCACTGCACAGGGGCCATCTTGCTCAGCTCACAATGCAGTATGACCATGGCCCCTTCTGTGACCTCCTCACTCTTCAGACCTTGTATGAATCTGGCAGGTAGGGCTGGGAGAGTCAGATGGACATGGAGAACATCAGACCGCCTGGAAGACTTTGTGTATGGGACACACACCCATTGAAAACACATAAACTCCCAAAATAGTAAAAGGAGGCACAGACAAATAAATGAACAAGTAGTGAGGAAAAAAAATGGTCACGGGGGGAGCAAAGGACAAAAACGGATAGACACGAGCCTCATGAACATGAACATCATGAAATCTATTGGTCAAAAGACTGAGGAGCTAGGGGAACCCAGGAGACCCCAGTGAGATGGAGAACAGACATCCATGGAATCCCATGGGGCCTTGGCACAGATGGAGGCAGAAAGTGGTGACATAGGACACCATGGTGCAGACACCACTACACTGATCCAAGTGGCTACAGAAAGCTTTTACCCTTCACAGAGAGCTTTGCTGAGGTCCTCTCCTGTCCACATACACACAAATACTCTCCAGCATCTGCCACAGCCAGGTCACGGATCTCCAGCTCACATGTGGCCCCATCCTGCCTCAGGGTGTATCTGCCACCAGTGTTGATGGTCTCAGAGCCCTTCTTCCACTGCACAGGGGCCATCTTGCTCAGCTCACAATGCAGTGTGGCTGTGGCCCCTTCTGTGACCTCCTCATTCTTCAGACCTTGTATGAATCTGGCAGGTAGGGCTGGGAGGGTCAAACGGACATGGAGAACATCAGACCATCTGGAGGACTTTGTGTATGGGATAGACACTCACTAAAACACATAAAATCCCAGAAGAGCAAAGAAAGGAACAAGTAAACAAGTTAATAATGGGGAGGGAAACAAATAGTTATGGAGGAAAAGAGAATAAAGAGGAACAGACATGAGTGTCGTGAATATGAACATCATGACATCTATTGGTCATGTGATCAAGGAGCTGGGACAACTCAAGAGACCTCGGATGGATGGAGAACAGACATCATGAAGTCTCACAGTCTCTCATTTGACACAAATGAAGGAAGATGGTATTGTCATGGGATACCATGGTGCAGACACCAAGCCACAGACTTATTGGGCCACATGCAGTCTTTACCCTTCACGGTGAGTGTGGCCGAGGTCCTCTCCTGCCCACACATACACAAATACTCCCCAGCATCTGTTATGGCCAGGCTACAGAGCTCCAGCTCACAGGTGGCTCCTTCTTGCCTCAGGGTATATTTGTCCCCAGTGATGAGGGCCTTGGGGCCCTTCTTCCACTGTACAGGGGCCATCTTGTTCAGCTTACACCGAAGGATGACTTTGGCCCCTTCTGAGGCCTCCTCATTCTTCAGACATTGTATGAATCTGGCAGGCAGGGCTGGGAGGGCCAAATGGACACAGAGAACATCAGACTGTCTGGAGGATTTTGTGTCCATACACAAAGACACTTACTAAAAACACAGAAGTCCCAAAGGAGCAAAGGGAGGCACAAACAAACAAATGAACAAATTGTGAGGAAACCAAATAGTCATGGGGGGAACAAAGGACAAAGAGGGGCAGATATGAACCTCATGAACATGAACATTATGACATCAATAGGTCAAAGGATTGAGGAAGTGGGGAGAATCCAGGAGAACCCAGTGAGATGGAAAACAGAACAGACATCCATGGAGTCCCATGGGGGCCTTGGCACAGATGGAGGCAGAAACTGATGACCCAGGACACCATGGTACAGACACCACTCCACAGATCCATGTGGCCATACATAGCTTTTACCTTTCACAGTGAGTGTTCCCGAGGTCCTCTCCTGCCCGCACACACACAAATACTCTCCAGCATCTGTCATAGCCAGGTCACGGATCTCCAGCTCACATGTGGCACCATCTTGCCTCAGGGTGTATCTGTCACCAGTGCTGAGGGTCTCAGAGCCCTTCCTCCACTGCACAGTCGCCATCTTGCTCAGCTTACAATGCAGTGTGACCATGGCCCCTTCCGTGGCCTCCTCACTCTTCAGACATTGTATGAATTGGGAGGGCAGGGCTGGAAGGGTCAAATGGACATGGAGAACATCAGTCTGAAGGACTTTGTGGATGGAACAGACACCCACAGACAACACAACACTCCTGAAAAAGCAATGGGAGAGACAAGCAAACAAATGGACAAATGACGAGGAAAGTAAACAGTCATGGAGGGAACAGAGGACAAAGAGGGATAGATATGAGCCTCATGGACATGAACATCATGACATCTATTGGTCAAAGCATTGAGAAGTTAGGAGAACAGGAGACCCCAGTGAGATGGAGAACAGACATCCATGGAGACTCATGGGGTCTTGGCACAGATGGAGGCAGCAAGTGGTGACATAGGACACCATGGAGCAGGTACCATGACACTGATCCAAGTAGCCACATGAAGCTATTACCCTTCACAGAGAGTTTTGCCGAGGTCCTCTCCTGTCCACATACACACAAATACTCTCCAGCATCTGCCACAGCCAGGTCACGGATCTCCAGCTCACATGTGGCCCCATCCTGCCTCAGGGTGTATCTGACACCAGTGCTGAGAGTCTCAGAGCCCTTCTTCCACTGCACGGGGGCCATCTTGCTCAGCTCACAATGCAATGTGGCCGTTGCCCCTTCCGTGGCCTCCTCATTCTTCAGACCTTGTATGAATCTGGCTGGTAGGGCTGGGAGGGTCAAATGGACATGGACATCAGACTGTCTGGAAGACTTTGTATACAGGATCCAGACACCCACTAAAACCAACAAATCTCAAAGGAGCAAATGGAGGGACAAACAAATGAACAAATGCAAGGAAAACAAATAGTCATGGGGGGTACAGAGGACAAAGAGGAATAGACATGAGTCTCATGAACGTGAGTATCATGATATCTATTGGTTGAAGGACTGAGAAACTGGGAGAGCCCAAGAGACCCCAGTGAGATGGAGAACAGACATCCATGGAGACCCATGGGGTCTTGGCACAGATGGAGACAGAAAGTGGTGACATAGGATACCATGGTGCAGATACCACTCCGCTGATCCACGAGGCCACACTAAGCTTTTACCATTCACAGAGAGCTTTGCTGAGGTCCTCTCCTGCCCACATACACACAGATAACTCTCCAACATCTGCCACAGTCAGACCATGGATCTCCAGCTCACACATGGCCCCATCCTGCCTCAGGTTGTATCTGTCACCAGTGCTCAGAGTTTCAGAGCCCTTTTCCCACTGCACAGGGGCCATCTTGCTCAGCTCACAATGCAGTGTGGTTATGGCCCCTTCCATGTCCTCCTTATTCTTCAGACCTTGTATGAATCTGGCTGGGAAGGGCCAAACGGACACAGAGAACATCAGGTTGTCTGGAGGACTTTGTATATGGAACAGACACCCACTAAAAACACACAAACTCCCAAAGGACCAAGGAAGGGCACAAAGAAACAAATGAACAAATGGTGAGGTAAACAAATGGCTATGGGAGGAACAGAGGATAAGGAGAAATAGACTTGAGTGTTATGAATACGAATATCATGACATCTACTGGTCAAGTGGTCAAGGAGCTGGGAGAATCCAAGAGACCTCAATGAGATGGAGAATAGACATCCATAGTATCTCACGGGAGACTGAACACAGATGAAGGAAGGAAGTGGTGACATGAGACACCTTGATGCAGACAGCATGCCACTGATCCATGTGGCCACATGCAGTTTTTAGCCTTCATAGTGCGACCAAGGTCCTTTCCTGCCCGCAGGCACAGGCGTAGTTCCTGGCATTCCCTATGACCAGGTCATGGATCTCAAGCTCACATGTCCTATCCTGCCTCAGTCTGTATCTGTCCCCAGTGCTGAGGGTCTCAGAACCCTTCCTCCACTGCAGAGGGGTTTTCTTGCTCAACTCACATCGCAGCATGCCTGTGGCCCCTTCTGTAGCCTTCTTACTCTTCAGACCTTGTACGAATCTAGCTAGCAAGGCTAGGATTGCCTATTGGACAGAGAACATCAGACTGTTGAAGACTTTCATACGGCACAGATACCCACAAAGAAACACGTAAACTCCCAAAGTAGCAAAGGGATGGACAAGCAAACAAATGAACAAACGATGAGGGAAGCAAACGGTCATGAGAAGGAACAGAAAACAAAGAGACATGAGCCTCATGAACATGAACATCATGGTATCTATTGGTCAAAGGGTTAAGGAGCTGGGAGAACAGGAGACCCCAGCAAGATGGAGAATAAATATCCATGGCTTCCTACAGGGACCTTGGTACAGATGGAGGCAGAAAGCAGTGCCATGGTACAGATATCACTCCACTGATTTATGTGGCCAAATGCAGGTTTTACCCCTCACAGTCAGTGTGTTTAAGGTCCTCTTTTGCTTGCACATATACAAATACTCCTTAGCATCTATCATGACAAAGCCATGAATATCCAGCTCACAAGTGGTACCATGCTGCTTTAGGCTGTATTTGTCCCGGGTGCTGAGGGTGTTTGGGCCCTCCCTCCACTGCACAGGGGCTGCCTTGCTTAGCTCACAACACAGCATGGCCATGGCCCCTTCCATGGCCGTCTTGGTCTTCAGAACAAGTATGAACCGAGCAGGCAGAGATGGGGGGAGTCAAATAAACAGAAGCCATCAAGTCTTCTCGGTAGTTTGGGGGACAAGACTTGAATGGCCAGGAGGGGAGAAAAAAGCAGCAACAACTGGAATCACATGAGTGAGGACAAACCAAGTAGTGTTGGCTGGTGTGTCTTCCTGTGTTTAGCCTTCTGAAGCACATAGCAGCTATTATGTGCAGCTACATACCAGGCCTCCCATTCTCTCAAAAGGGCCTCTGTCTTCAGCTTTGACCTTTAGTTACCAGCTAAGCCTTAGATCCTCTACACCTTGAGCTCCAAGCCAGGCTTCATCCACATTCACAACCTGTGGAAAGCTGAAGTAGAAGGAGCCCTTTGCTTAAAATTGCAGAACTTCAACAAACTAGAAGGCATGATTAAAGCAGACATTAATCATAATGACTAACTTGCTGTTTTTCCTTCCCTTTTGCTTTCTTCTAAGTAAATAAAATAGCCAAACTTTTTACAAATGCTGAGTTCTTTAGGTTTATTTTCAATTATATATTCTTTTTTTTTTTTTTTTTTTTTTTTTTTTTTTTACTTTTTTTTTTTTTTTTTTTTTTTTTTTACTTTATTCTGTTTACATTTTTTTTTTTTTTTAATTGTGATTTGGGTGAAAGTTTACAGAGCAATTCACTTTCCATACAGCAGTTCACAACATGTTGTCTTATGACATTGACTACAATTTACTCCAATGCAACAGCTCCCTTCCCACTTCCTCCCCATAGTTACCTCTTCCCTGTGTCCATCCCTCCATGCACTCCTGCCCCCTGAACTATCTCCCTGTGCATAAACAGCCCTTCTTTCTCCCATGATTATTCTTTCCAAGGAGTGTATCTACCTAGTGTAAATGTTCAACTCATACACCTGTCTTTTGTTTGGCTGGAAGCCACAGGAGTGGGTTCAATTCCAGACCTGAAGGGTTGCTAGGGACCATAGTCTCAGTGGTTCCATCAGGCTCTATCAGAGCAGCAAAACTTTTTTCTTTTCTTTTCCAAATGATTTTGAGTTTTGTTCCACATTTTTCTCCCTCTCTATCCAGGATGTCCTACATAGATCCCCCTCAGAGTGATTGACAGTGATAGACAGGCACCATCTAGTTCTTCTGGTTTCATAGTCATATAGGCTGAGGATCTCATGGTGTACAGGTCACTTGGACTAACTGTTTCATGAATCTTTGCTTTTCTTCATTGTTCTTTGCTCTGGATGAGGAGAGACCCATCATTGCATCTAGATGGATGCTTGCAAGCTTTTAAGATCCCAGTTGCTACTTGCCAAAGTAGGAGGTGGAACAATGTTTTGTGTAGAATGTTATGCCAACTGAGCTTGATGTCCCCTGTGACTATGGTCCCAAGCCCACAGGTTCATCTACTCACTCCCTCTGTAGCTGGCTGTGACCAAGAAGTAACTACAAACTTGTCCCTTGTCAGCTCTACTATACCCCTGGGAATTCTTAAAGAACATACAAATACACTTGTAGAACCATAGTCTGCCAGCCCTATACATGGTCTGGAGTACACTCCCTCCTGCAGAGACATACCTAAGAATTCAGCCTGTCCACCCATCTATCCACCTATATACCTGTGTTTGCCTTCACTGATGATGCAGTACTGTATGTGCAAAAAGGTTCATCTTTGTTGTCTGCACCTCCCATGTACCTCTCTCTGTCTTCCTTTTCCTCAATGCCACCATGTTGATCACTCACATTTGGTACATTGCCCTTCTCTTCACCCAAATAAATACTTATCTCTACCTATCTAACAGTGTTGATTCCCCTCCCCTCCCACCCCTGGTAACCAATAAAGAAAATTTCCTTCCATATATAAACCGTTCCTTGACTTTTACAATAATGGACTAATATAATATTTGTCCTTCTGTGATTGACTTATTTCATTCAGCATAATGTCCTCCAAGTTCATCCATGTTATGCAATGTTCTGCAGATTTTACATTATTCTTTAGGGTTGCATAGTATTCCATCGTGTGTATGTACCAAAGTTTGGTTATCCATTCCTCAGTTGATGGACACCTAGGTTGTTTCCAACTTTTTGCTATTGTAAATAGTGCTGTGATGAACATGGGTGTGCATATGTCTTTTCTTGTCATGGCTCTCACTTCTTTAGGATATATACCTAAGTAATGGAATGACTGGGTCAAATGGTATGTCTATTTCCAACTTTTTAAGGAATTGCCATACTGCTTTCCACAGTGGTTGTACCATTTCACAGTCCCACCAGCATTGTATGAGAGTCCTAATCTTTCTGCATCCTTGCCAGCATTTGTTATTTTCTGTCTTGCTAGTGCTGGGGCAAGATGGTATCTCATTGTTGTTTTGATTTACAACTCTCTAATGGCTAATGAAGGAGCGCTGATGTTGTAGTGCCTAAGGCATTTGACTCCTAACTAGAAGACTGGCAGTTCAAACCCACCAGCCACTCCTCAGAAGGAAGGTTGGGCAATCTATTTCCATAGTGTTATCACCTCAGAAACCCAGGGAGGGGTTGTTATGACTCGGGGAAGACTTGAGGGCACATAACAACAACAACAATGGCTAATGATTGTGAGCATTTCTTCATATGTTTGTTGGCCACCTGAATATCCTCCTTGGTGAAGTGTCTGTTCATGTCTTCTGCCCAGTTTTTTAATTGGATTATTTGTCTTTTTGTTATTGAGGTGTTGGAGTTTTCTATACATTCTAGAGATAAGTCCCTTGTCAGATATGTCATTGCCAAATATTTTTTCCCAATCTGTAGGTTCTCTCTTGACTCTTTTGGAGAAGTCTTTGGAAGCACATAAAAAATTAATTTTTAGAAGGTCCCATTCATCTAGTTTCTCTTCTGCTCTTTGTGTATTTTGGGTTATGCTTGATAGTCTATTTATGCCATATATTGTTGTTGTTGTTATGTACCGTCAAGTCGGACCTGACTCATAGTGACCCTTCCTTGGGTTTATGAGGCAGTATCACAACGGAAGTAGATTGCCCCATCTTCCTTTCAAGGAGTGGCTAGTGGGTTTGAACCGTCAGCCTTCAGGTAAGCAGTCAAATGCCTTAGGCACTATGGTACCAGAGCTCCCATGCCATATATTAGGGCCCCTAAATTTGCCTCTAGTTTTTCCTTGAGGAACTCTATAGTTTTAGGTTTCACATTTAAGTCTTTGATCCATCTGGAGTTAGTTTTTATGTATGGCGTGAGGTACAGATCTTGTTTCATTTTTCTGCAAATGGATATCCAGTTTTGCCAGCACCATTTATTAAACAAGTATTCTCTTCCCCCATTTAATGGATTTAGGCCTTTTGTCAAAGATCAGCTGACCATAGGTCAATGGATCTATATCTGGGTTCTCAATTCTATTCCATTGGTCTACATGTCTGTCATTGCACCAATACCAGGCAGTTTTGACTACTGTGGCTGTATGGTAGGTTTTGAGATTTGGCAGTGTGAGACCTCCTACTTTGTTCTTCTTCTTCAGTAGTGCTTTGCTTATCCAAGGTCTCTTTCCTTTCCATATAAAGTTAGTGACTAGTTTTTCCATATCCTTAAAAAATGTTAATAGGATCTGGATTGGGATTGCATTGAATGTACAGATTGCTTTGGGTAGAACTGACATTTTCACAATGTTCAATCTTCCTATCCATGAGCATGGGATGTTCTTGCATTTATGTAAATCTCTTATGGTTTCTTGAAGTAGTTTTTTTTTATAGTTTTCTTTCTATAGGTCTTTTGTATCCCTGGTAAGATTTATTCTCAGGTATTTTAATTTTTTTTGGAGCTATTGTAAATGGTATTGATTTCCTTATTTCTTTTTCAGCAATCTCTTTGCTGGTGTAGAGGAATTCAACTGATTTTTGGATGTTGATCTTGTATCTTGCCATGATGCTAAATCTTTCAATTAGTTCCAGTAGATTTTTGACTGAGTCTCTTGGGTTTTCTATTACATATTCTTTTAAGCATAACCCTCTCCCATGACTGGTTTCTACTAAGGACTGAAGTCTATAAAGCAAGATGACCCTGAGAAGAGGGACACTGAGTCCAGAGTAACCATGGAAAAGAAAAACAAAAACATTCCTAGTAGTCCAAGAGATCTTCAACCCTCTTCCTACCTCCCTATGTAACTATCCCTTTGCTCAGGGAGACAGACTTTTTCAAGAAACAATTCTGTCTCCTCAGGTATTGATACGCAATAAATCTTGCTTTTCTACTTCAACATGTGTGTGATTGGCCCTGCTTGTGACAGGTGGCAAGAACCTCATTGTTCCTGCATGAAACCCATGTACCCAACAACACGATGGACATCTCTACTTCCTGGACTTTACATCCCACCTGCCCTTGCTGGTTTCCCATGCACACATGCCCCCATTACAGGTAGGACACCACCAACCACTGCTCAGGGCTGCATACACCTGGGCACACCAACCTCTGCTCATCTGCACTGTCTCCCCCAATCCACACAGGGTCCATCTCCTCTGCTCCACATCCTTATCCTGGCCCCATTTGCTCCACTCCCTCAGCTCAGATCATTTAGACCCCAAAGGATTCAAATATGGTCACCCAACTACCCCTTGAACTTCTAACTTGCTGCCTACATGGCTCCCTCCAGACCCCAGGCAGAGTGTGAGCTTCAGAACTCACAGCAGGCTAGTACTTGAACTGTGACTCCTACTGAGGCCAGATGCAGAGGACTCAGCTTCCTGGCCACCTTTTCCCTGCCATCTCCTGACACTGCCCCCTCAAATGGCCATGCACTCCCTCAGGCCTGGCCCTAAAGGCCTGGACTCTTGCCACCTTCCCAAGGGCACTCTGGCCTATAGACCTAGTTTGGGACTGCCTCCACATGCTTCTGTCAGGGCCCTTGCTCCCTACATACTCCATCTACCACAAGTATCTGTGGTCCTTTTACCAGTGTCCCTACAATCAGAACAGTGCTGACCACAGTGGTAATCAACATGGTTTGTAAAATGGTTAAGACAGACAGGTGCTGTGATACCAGATGAAAGTGATATCAAGGGACAAAGGAGACACAGCTCAGGTGAATTAGGTGGGAACAGAGTTCTCTGTAAAGCCACACATAGTTTTACCCATCACAGTCAGTGTGGCCGAAGTTCTCTATTGCCCACACACGTACAAGTACTTCCCAGTGTCTACCATGGCCAGACCACAAATCTCCAGCTCACATGTGGCCCCATCCTGTCTGATGCTGTATCTGTCCCCAGCACTGAGGGTCTCACAGCCCTTCCTTCACTCCACAAGGGCAGCCTTCATCTGCTCACACCTCAGTGTTGCCATGACTCCTTCCCTTAGCCTTTTCACTTTTCAGACATTGTATGAATCTGGCTTGCAGGGTTAGGAGATCCAAACGGACTCAGAGAACATCAGACTGCCTGGAAGACCTTGTGTACAGAACACAGACACCTATAAAGAAACACATAAACTTCCAAAGTAGCAAAGGGATGGACAAGCAAACAAATGAACAAATGGTGAGGGAAGTAAACAGTTATGGGGGGAACAAAAGATAAAGAAGGATAGACATGAGCCTCATGAACATGAACATCATGACATCTACTGTCCAAGGAAGAGGTCAGGGAGATGTGAGAACCTAAAGGACCCTGGTCAGAGAGAGCACAGATACTCATGGAGTCTCACAGGGACCTAGGCACAAAAGGAGGCAGGAGATGGTGACACAGAACACTATGGTGCAGACACTACTCTGCTTATCCATGTGGCCAAGTGCAGTCTTTACCTTTCATAGATAGCATGGCCAAGGTCCTCTCCTGCCCACAAACATGAATACCCCCCAGCACCTGCTATTGCCAGGCTATGGATATCCAGCTCACACATGGCCCCATTCTGCCTCAGGCTCTGTCTCCAGTGCTGATGGTCTCAGGGCCCTTCCTCCATGGCACAGGGGCCACCTTGCTCAGTTCATACTGAAGCATGGCTGTGGCCCCTTCTATGGCCTCTTCACTGTTTTGACCTTGTCTGAATCTGGCTGGTAGGGCTGGGAGGGCCGAATGAACATGGAAAACGTCAGAATGTTTGGAGGATTTTGAGTACAGGACACAGACACACACAAAGACACACATGCACTATGGAGGGAACAAATAAATAAAATGTAAACAGAAGGGCACATGGTGTGGGAAATAGTGTGGCAGGAGAAGCACGTGAAGTCAGGCTGAGCCATACTGGCAGAGGTCAGTGAAGGAGACAGGACCTAGGAATTCTCATGCAGATACCATGGAGACTGCTAAGGGTCACAGACAGTGGGCCAAGGAGGTGAGAAGAGGGATGTCTCCTCGGCCAAAGATCTCCAGCTCATGTGGCCCCTTCTGCCTTAGGCTGCATTTGTCCCAGTATTGAGGGTCTCGGGGCCCCACCTGACAGGGCTGCCTTTTTCAGCTCACACTGCAGTGGACTCCATGTTTCATGGTTGCCCCGTGATCCTGACTGGTACAGGTAGAAGAAGGAGAATGGAGAAAGGCTTCTAAAACTTCCATTCCTATGGCTCTAGATTCAACTCTTACACCTTTGCTGCTCCCCAGAGGCTAGGAACACTCCAGATAGACCCCAAGCAGGGAGAACACAGTTGGGGGAGAGATGGGATCCACCTGCCCTCCATCATGGAGCTGCACCAGATGGTCTCATTGCTGTGCACTGTGCAGTTGGCATGGGCAGGGCCTGGATGGTAGCTATTCTGACACGTACAGATTGAAAGGATTAAAAAATGTGCATGTGAGCAAGCAATCCAACCTGGCTGCAAGGAGCACATATGAACAGGAAGGCCTACAGAGCCCAGCTGCAGTGTTGCCCCATCTGACCTTCCAGCAGAGCATGGAGCCATGTGCCTAGTCCCTCTTCAGCTGGGGCCTTTACCAGGGCAGCAGCTCCAAGCATCTCTGTGGTAAAACAGTCATGTTGTGACCTTCTGAAATCACAGGAATTCCCTCCTCAGCATCCTTTAGAAGTCTTAGTCTTCTCAAGCTGCCACAGTACAATACCCAGTGCAGGTAGCTTTAAAGAACAGGAATTTATTCTCTTAGTTCTGGAGGATGGAAGTCTATGAGCAGGGCATTAGCAGGTGTAGGGTCCAAGACAGTGTGAGGGCTACAGGCAGGTCCCCCTGAAGAGCTGTGACATTGTGCCATGATGGGAACACCTGCTCCTGGACCTACAATCCTTTCCACTTCTTAGGAGGCTCCACATTCATCATGGGAGGGTAAGATGGGGTGAGAGTGGAGCCCAGGGCCCACCAGATGCAGTACCAGGCCCCCACATCCATGAGCAGCTATTTCTCCAAGAAGAGCCAATGATCTACTTTCCCTGTGGTGCCCAAGTCCTTTCATCAGTGTTGTTCCGTGATGCTCCCAGAACGGGGTGAGGGCCTTATTCTGTCTCTGACCCATCTTTGTGTCCTGCAGGAAGTGACCCAGGCCCTAAGAGGTACCTAAGCATCTAGACCCCCGACGTGGGGGCTGTACCTTCACTGGGCTGCCTGCTGTGCCAGGGAAGATATTAGCTCCACAGGAGTCAAGGGAGGCCTCCAGGGGTCTGCACCTTCTGCAGAAGAACCAGTACGACTCTAGGCTTGGTGCTTATTCCTGATGTGGCCATGAGCTCTGGGCAGAAAGGTAGAGCCCAGGGTTCTTTACCTCCCAGGTATGTCCATCTCTAGCCAAGTTCCTTTCCTGCCCCAGCATCGTCCATGGCCAGGCCATGGATCTCCAGCTCACCCATGACCCTATCCCACCTCAGCTGTACCTGTCCTTGGTGATAAGAGTCTCAGAGTCCTTATACCACTCCATAGGTCCTCTTTCTGGCCTCTGCAGACCCTTTGTGAACTAGACAAGCATGATGAAGCAGGGTCAGACACACATGCCATCAGCCCCTCTGGAGATTGTAGGCCATGAACAAGACAACAGACACAGTGAATAAAGCACACAGGATGCAAGCTCAGGGCCTGTGGATGCAGGACCATGAGAAGTTGCTCAGCCCTGCCTTCCTCAGCATATCTCCACCTCAAGACCTGAGGCCAGGGAGATACCACCAATGCCTTCACTGGCCGCAAGTGCTGCTAAAACACACAGAGGCTACCCTGCACTCCCACCAAGGTTCTCTTCTGTTGCATCTGCCCCCAGGGACAACATCCATCTATATACCTCACTACTCTAAGCCCTTCTTGTCCATGCTCTACCATCCCACAAATGCAGCCCAGCAACTCTACTTCCTCTTCTTAAGGATGCTCACAAAACAAGCAGGTGTGGCTATGGAGTTTCCCAGGATGTGGCCTTACCACCCCTTCCCAGCACCTGGCCATCTCCACACCAGCCTCCCTATTTCCTGGGGATACCCTCACCCACTTCCTCTCCTTTCAAGTGGAGAGGACAGGAGGCTTCTCCTCAGCTGCACCTGGTGTCTCTCCATCTCTGTGGATGCCCAGCTCTGCCACCTATAAGATGGCCCACTTCCTGTCCTCTGGCTCTCTCACTCTCACTTGCCCACATACCTCCAGCCCCAACACTCCCTCTCTTATGCTCACACATGGCCCTGCTGCCTCACCTCAGATGCCCCTTCTGGCTCTGTTTCCTTAGTGCTGTCTCCTCTACCTCAATTGTGACCTTCATGAGGGCAAGAAGGGCCTTGCTTGCCTTCTACTGTTTACCTTACAACTGAGACTGGCCCACATGTAGTAGCTGCTGTACAATATAAGCTCCAAGAATGAGTGATACACAAGCAGACAGCAGTGCAGATAGGGTAGGGAGGGAAGGACATGAAGACATGTTCAGACATCATGCTGCAAGTACACATGGCCACAGGAGGTCATTACCCTTCACAGTCAGTGTAGCTGAGGTCCTTTCCTGCCCACACACACATGTGTACTCCCCGGCATCCCCCATGTCCAGGCCATGGATCTCCAGTTCACATACGGCCCCATCCTGTCTCAGGCTGTATTTGTCCCCAGCACTGAGGGTCTCAGGGCCCTTCTTCCACTGCACAGTGGCCACTCTGTTCAGCTCACACCACAGAGTGGCTGTGGTCCCTTCTGTGGCCTCCTTGCTTCTCAGTCTTCCTATGAACTGGGCAGGCTGGGCTGAAATGGTAAAAAACAGACATGGAGAACATGAGATCTCTGGTGGATTTGGGGGACATGACCAGGCAAGACAGAGGATGAGACAAAAAATCCAACAGGACAGAAAGCAAGTGACAACACAATAGGTGGAGAACTGGCTATAGATTCTGGTTTCTCAGTCCAATTAACAGGAAAGTGGTGCAGAACCCAGGAAGGGGGAAGAGAATCTGGAAAGAGACAACGGAAAAGCTCTTAAAGACAAAGCCAGGGGCCGTCCGCAGAATTTGTTCATGTGCAAGTTCAACTTGAAGCTGAATAAAACCAAAGCAGGTCCACAAGAATCAAAGTACAACCTTGAATACGTCCTGCCAGGATTTAGAGACCATCTCAAGAATAAATTTGATGCACTGAACAGTAATGACCAAAAACCGGAAGAGCTGTGAGATGATATCAACAACATCATACATGAAGAAAGTAAAAGGTCATTAAAAAGACAGGAAAGAAGGAAAAGACCAACATAGATGTCAGACATGACACTGAAACTTACTGTTAAGTGTAGAATACCTAAAGAGTATGGGAAAAAATGATGAAATAAAAGAACTAAACAGAATTTAAAGGGAGGCTCAAGGAGACAAGGTAAAGTATTATAGTAAAATCTGCAAAACCAGAACCTGTATAAGGTGGAAACCTGTCAGAGAAAAAAAGATCCAATATTTTCTACTAAAATGAGGGACAGAAAAGTGTTAAGACTGTACACCCTGTCAAAGATAGAAAACTTGGGAGACTCAGAAAAATAAAGCAGTCAGTTCTGTGGAGTTCTGCTTCACACAGATTTCACTCTATAATGAAATGTGCAAAGGCCTGGATTTAGAACCCCAAAAGGGAAAAACATTGTCAGCATATCTCAAGGTGAAAAAAATGAAGAGAAAATTCAAGCTTTGGGTTGAAATACTGAAGGACTTTATGAGCAAAAAATCAAATGATGTAGGAAACATCAAAGAAGATAGAAAGAATACAGAGTCACTGTACCAAAAATACTTGGTTAACATTCACCCATTTCAGAGGGTAGCATATAATCAAGAACCACTGATACTGGAACTGGTACTGAAGGAAGATATACAAGATGCACTGAGGCATTATAAAAAGAACAACGCTCCAGGAATTGACAGAATACCAATTGAGATGTTTCAACAAACAGATGCAACACTAGAAGCACTTAATCTTCTATGTCAAGAAATTTGGAAGACCAACCAACTGAAAGATACCCATATTCATGCCTATTCAAACAAAGGCACTCAAATAGAATGTGGAAATTATAGAACAATGTCATTTGCATCACATGTTATCAAAATTTTACTGAAGATAGGGAGGCGGGGCAAGATGGCGGACTAGGCAGAAGGATTGCACAGACCCTCTTCAACAAAGAAAAGGGAAACCAATTAATACAGACACAGAAGATAATCTTGGACCCCTGAGCCTTGAAGGAAAGGATGCAGATTTGGACTAAACCCCAACTAGCAGAAGAATTTGCGTGAAA